TAAAGTTCACTAGGTCCTCTGTTCGAAACTTTCTGATGCTACCCTTCTTCTGATTTTTTTCTTTAAATCAATTCTATCAGTTTATATAAAATAAGGTCTATACATTCGAGAGTAAGATCCAGTTATGTTGAAGGAAATATCTTATAATATTTTTGAACTAGTCGTAACCTTAAATTTTTACTTGAATCTGACGTATTAAATCCATTTTTACCAAAACTTGTAAACAAGCTCTATTTTTATAATATAATCATCTCAATACTAAATTTTTCATCTAAGTTTTAAAGCTCTAACTTTAACTAAAAATCTAGAACAATTAACCTTTAGTTGTTCTCCAATTAATTAATTATATATATATTTATTTATTTAATTTCTTTCATTGATTTTAAAGGCCCATCTTGACATGAATTTGTGACTCTGCCACTAGTTAGTGTTCACTAAAGATAGTAATTGCCTTAGCTTAGTAGCTTGGGCAGTAATTACTTAGACCTACTCCAACCCTTGGTAAACTCAAATTTTAGGTTCTAAACTTACCCCAACTTTCTCCAACCCTTGGGGCAAATATGAGTTAAAACTCAAAACTCATTTCTGAGCCAAATTTAGCCCAGCATTCCCCCTGAGTTATTGGGGCTGGCTCACCATATATGTATTTTTTTTAGTTTTATATTTATAAATTCATTGAATCCAACTATTAAGATTTAATTTGATGAAATCTAACGACAAAAAAAATATCTAACGGTCCAAATTTAAATCCAACAGCTAAAGTAATTAAAAAAAATTCTTTTATGTGTTTCATATTCTTTCATAGTGTTTCACGAGTTTCATGATGTCGGTTAGTGATTTTTCTATATTTGTTGGAATCTATATATTTTTTGGTTAAAATGTTCATAAAATTAAAGTAGGATAGTATATATAATTTTTTTTTATTTTTAAAAAGTTACTTTAAGAAAGAAAAAAATAGCCTAAATTCATTCTTTAATAATCTGGGGCTAAAATTTTAACCCATAAGGGTTGGAGCAAAAAAACTATTTCTGGGTTAAAACTTAAATTTTCTAGGCTAAATTTTTTGGGTTTTAACCCAAAGGTTGGAGTTGCTCTTATAGGGTGGCTCAGTATTCTATTATATACTAACATTTTCATTGTTTTTATTATTATATTGTTAGTATTGTTTTTCTTTTTTAACATTTTTGCTATACACACACCATATAGTCTTATTTTTCTCCCACTTTACAATTATAATTTTATAGACAAATTTTATTTTTCTCCCACTTTACAATTATAATTTTATCAACAAATCTATCATTCTATAAATGACTTACAAAGACCTAAAGACCAACTAACTATGTCTTGCCACATAATTATTAGTTATATACTTCAAAGTTGAAAAAAATAAAAACTAAAATATCATAAATGAGAAAAGGGGAAAAAACTAGAATCCTCTCCCAATTAGACCCCGATAAGTCCACTCATCTCCCTCACGGCGGCGTGGCCTCGGTCAACCCATATCTCTCTCGTTTTTTCTCTCCCCGTTGTGCCTCCTGAATTTGAATATGATAACGATAGATTGAGTACATGGTGATTTAAGGACGTGGTGAAGTTACTAAAAAGGCACGGCAACAACCAAATATAATGCACAAAACCGCCATAGCAATTGGGTATTCTCTATCTCGACGGTTGCATTATATTTGGTTTATTAAACTAAACATGGTAAATACCAATATTAAACTAAACATGGTAAATACCAAAAATATATATGACAATATTTGGGAATTTCTTATATATTCATTAATCTCCAAAGTGGAGTATATATAGGAGTTACAATTGGTATTACATATGTACTTCACCAATGTGGGACTATAAACTACTATTTACACTCTAACTAATATATAACTCGCAACACTCCCCCTTAAATTGGTGCAAAGATGTCACGCATGCCCAACTTGTCAAGTGAGTTGGAAAACACACTATTAGACACAACCTTAGTAAGAGCATCAGCAAGTTGATCTTCAGATCTCACAAACGGAAACATAATAATTTTAGCATCCAATTTTTCCTTAATGAAATGTCGATCTGCTTTGTGCTTAATAGTAAACACATATCTACATCCAACGGTTTTTTTCCGTTTGGTAAAGGAACCAAATCCCAGGTAGAATTCTTTTCCAAAGCTTCCATCTCAACTTGCATGGCATTAACCCACTTAGGGTCAGACAAGGCATCTTGCAATTTTGTTGGAATTGATACACTAGATAGCTGACAGATGTAAGATGCATATGGTTTGGATAAACGATGAGTAGACACATAATTCTTAATAGGATATTTGGCTTTGGCATGCATATCAGGTTCATATTGTACTTTAGGTTTTCCACGATTAGCTTGTGGAGGCAACCGATAAGTAGAAGAATCGTCAGAATTTACCTCATGTATGCCACCATCTTATACCAAATTGTTAGAAGAATCATCACTCAACGAACCATCATCAGCCTATAACTCGTTAGACATATCAGCAACAGGCAACAGATCATTAGAAGGCAATTCATCAGACATACTAACATGCAACTCGCTGGGCACATCTGATCTATCGTCAGTAGAAATAGTTTCGGGAATAACAGGTGACCGATCACTATCTGTAGTCGACTGATCAGTATCACGCAACATAATAGGTTCTGTTCCCAACTCTACCTGTAACATATCATCCATACCATCTATTCGAATCTGCACTTCACTCCCTTTCTCCCCCTGAAGTGGAGAGTCGGAAGAGGGCTTCACAAAATACGAAACTTCCTCATGGAAGGTGACATCCATGGTAATATAAGTTTTTTGAGTCGAAGGATGATAACACTTATAGCCTTTCTGATTGTTAGCATACCCAATAAAGACACATCGGAGAGCACATGCATCAAGTTTACTCCGCTGATGAGAGTAGACATGCACATAAGCAATACACCCAAACACTTTCGGAGGAAGCTTTGATACAGAAACAAGAGAAACATGTTGTTGTAGCACATCGAACGGTGTCTGAAAATTAAGAACCCTACTTGGAACACGATTGATCAAATACACAGCAGCCAAAACAGCATGACCCCACAAATGATTAGGAACACATTTATCCAACATCAAGGAGCGAACAACTTCCATTATTTGACGATTCTTCCGTTCGAACACACCATTTTGTTGGGGTGTAAACGGAGTAGTCGTCTGGTGAATAATACCATGACCACGAAAAAAACATGCTAAAGTGTGATTCACATATTCTCCCCTGTTATCAGACCTGAAGACCTTAACTTTGGTCTGAAACTGAGTAGACACCATTGTACAAAAATCTTGAAGAAGTAATGGAACATCACTCTTATTCTTTATAAAAAACACCCAAGTTAACCGAGTACAATCATCAATAAAAGTAACAAACCAACGGAATCCATTAGAAGTAACTTTTGCTGGACCCCACACATCAGAATGTATCAAATCAAATGACAAAGTAGCTTTAGAATCACTTACAGGAAATGAAGCACGATGACTCTTAGCCATGACACATGTTTCACACTTGAACTCTGAATCACTACAAGTGCGAAACAAAGAAGGAAATAGATGTTTCATATAACTGAATGATGGATGTCCCAATTGTCGATGCCACAACCAAATTTGATGTCTGTCATCCACTTTAGCACTTAAAACTTGATGATTATTTGAACCAGAAACAACAATATCCTCCATGGTCAAGATGTACAAACCCCCTATTCTTTTACCATGACCAATTATCTTCTGAGTTTGAATATCTTGAAAATAACAATACGTATGGTAGAAGTGAGCAGAACAATATAAGGTATCAAGAGGTTTTCCTACCAACAAAAGATTACACTTAAGATCAGGAACAAGTAAAGCACGGACCAATGATAAGGTTGAAGTCAGAGAGATAGTGCCTTCACCCTTCACAGGGGAATGTGCTCCATTTGCACTAGTAACATACGGATCATGAACATAGTCACATAACTCATCAAACACTTTAGGGTCACTAGTCACATGATCAGTGGCCCCAGTATCTATTATCCATTTATTTGTTCCACCAAGATGCATAACAACACCATGATTATATTGAGCCATTGAACAAAAATCACGAACAATAAAGGCACAAAAGATACGCAGCGGAATGAAAACAATTTACCAGATACTGTAGCAGAGAGACTGTTCACAGCACTATAGCATAGACTATTCACGGCACTGTAGAGGACCACTGTTCACGCACTGTAGAGACTATTCACACGGCACTGTAGCACGCCACTATTCAACTTTTTTTTTTTTTTTTTTTTTTTAACGAAGGAAATCACGAAAAATGTGGGCACAAAATTAAAGCACACAGGTCACCAAGAGCGAACTGCTCTGATGCCATATTAAACTAAACATGGTAAATACCAATATTAAACTAAACATGGTAAATACCAAAAATATATATGACAATATTTGAGAATTTCTTATATATTCATTAATCTCCAAAGTGAAGTATATATAGGAGTTACAATTGGTATTACATATGTACTTCACCAATATGGGACAATAAATTACTATTTACACTCTAACTAATATATAACTCGCAACATGGTTGTTGCCGTGCTTTTTTTTATCTCGATGGTGGTGTCTAACCCGTAATTGACAACGTACGGTAGGGTCTTCTCATGGTACGTAGCGAGTGAGTTGTAATCATATGGCTAGGGTTTAGTTTTTCAGTTCAATTATTTATGATTTCGAAGTGCGAGTTTGTTCCTTTGTGGTTGTGCGCATTTTGTTTTTGTACTGCCCATATGGCTAATGATTTTTGACGCCCAACATAAATACAATTCTTTGTTTCTTCATGATTCGTATTGGTGCCCTAGAAGTTGAGCTAACGATCCCATTCGGTATCGACTCAGTGAGTCTTCTTTTTTAATCATCTCCATCTTCCGCACTCGCTCCTCATGAGTGAAACCAAAACGCACCCGTACAGTGCGCACCAGCACCTTTTCTTCACTTCCTCATCACTTGCTTCTCCGTCTCTAAGCAATTGCCTCTGCCATTTCTCTTCTTTGTGCAACTGCTTCCACTCAGATACCCATTTGTCCCACTCTTCCTTCAAGATCCTTCTCTTCTCGCAAAGCTTTTCTTCTTCCTTCTTCTTTGAAGCTGGAGTATTAATTGGGTTGAGTCAGACTCAGGGAGTCTTCAACGAGCTCTTTGGAGCATTCACCATTCTCTTCTTCCTTCTTCTTTGAAGCTGGAGTATTGGGTTGAGTCAGACTCAGGAAATCTTCAACGAGCTCTTTGGAGCATTCACCATTCTCTTCTTCCTTCTTCTTTGAAGCTGGAGTATTGGGTTGAGTCAGACTCAGGGAGTCTTCAACAGGCTCTTTTATTTTTTCAAGTTCGAGTTGACGGAGGGAGCATTCACCATTCTCTTCTTCTTTCTTCTCATCACCTGCTTTGAAATGATTAATTACGTTGTATTCTCGATCTCATTCGAATCAAACAAATACAAAGCCCTGTGACTGTGTATATATATAAAATAAAATATAAAAAAAAAACTAGAAAACATGAATTTACATACGCAGATTGTAAGCGGAGATCTAACACAACAATTAAAAATATGTAAATTCGAAATTAAAAATAATCAATCTTCCTCCTCAAATAAATTAAATGGGAATTTTAAATATCACCACAAAAAAAATAATCAGGTATGAAATCGATCAAAAGGTAATTCTCGCACTCAAACTCAAAATTAAACATGAATTTACATAAGCAGATTGCAAACGGATATCTAATACAACAATTGAAAATTGCGAAGTTGAAATTACAAATAATCCATCTTCCTTCTCACTCACAAACCCTAAAACAAAAACCAAAAGCAACCACAAGAAGAGATGTGACTCCGGATCTCACCTCGAAGCTCTGGCGGTTGTGCTCGTTTGTTCCTGTTGGCCTAGGCATGGCTGTCCATGATTTTCTCAGAGAGAGATGTGTTAGGGTAAAATTGGTTATTCCTAAACAAAATGCCTAAGTGTGTAATCTTAGACTAGTGTTTGTTTTCAATTGTAATTGTTTAAGTCTAAGGATGTCTCTCACACTTTCTATGCAAAGATGCTACGTAAACAAGATACTTATTCAGGTACGTTCACACACATGCATCCAACTACATTCATCTGCATCTCATGTAATTGTATTTGGGATAAGACTCTTACTCCTTGTGTGTTTTATTTCTCTAAGAATGAATTATCACGTCTATCAAACCGTGTTTTCAAACTGAGGTGTTTGCATGTTGGTGTGACTTAATCTGTTTGCATGGGATTTATCTGATTGGATGTTGGTGGAGTTATCAACTACATGGATTGCATTGTAGTCCTTATCAGATAAGAAATTGGTGCGGTGCTTTTTGCATTGAAGTCAGGAACGTGCTCAAGTTTAGCGATATATGCATGAAAGCCGATTTCATTAAAAAGAGAATTTAGAAGCAGCAGCTTTGTGTTTTGTGTGCGTGAAAAATAATTTTAATATTGCTGCTATCTTGTGGTTTCAACAGCATGTGTTTTTAAAGAGAAAATATTATTTTCATGCTGATTTCATTTGGGTCTTTAATCGAAATCAATTACGAAAATGTGCCTTGTGATTTTCGTAATTGGTTGATTTTCAAAAATCATTTCATCATACATACATTATGTATGATCGCGTTAGTATCTTGCAAAATTCGAGGACACAGTGATTGACGGCCGCGTTAGTATCGTGCCACCTCCACTCGAAGGCTGAAGAGAGATTGAGTAGCAAAGCGCAGAGACAAAACTGCCTACTAGTATGCGTGTCTAGTTGATGAGTTTTGTAAGTCTTTCTGTACTTATTTCTCTTAGTGTTTGTCCTGGCTTGGGAGCTCGAGGATTTTCCCAGTGATGGGTTTTGCCTCGTTAAATCCTACATCCTTGTGCACTTTTTATTTATCGTTTTAATTGCATATGAGTATGATAGTTTGATATGTGATGTGAATGTGGATTTAATTTGAGAACTGAAAATTAAATTGAAAATTGAATTGGATTTTTAAGTTAGAACCTATTCACCTCCCTCTAGGTTAAACTAGTACCATCCTAGAACTTTCAAGATGGCAATTGCATGAGTTTTTTTTTTTGTTTTTTTGTTTTTATGGAGACGGTTGAAAATAAAGGATTTATGACAAATATAAGAATTCTTCAATAATCTCACAAACTCAAATAACAATCTTCTCCAGAAGGAGGTATTTATAAGATTACAATGGAGTATACTATGAAACAAATCAATACAATCCCTTGTCTACAAGATAAGGAAACCTAGACCAAATCAAATCATATCAAAACCCTAAGTAAATCATATAAAATCACCAAATTACCGTCAATAAAAGTACAATATATAGAAAGTAAATTGACATAGTTACCAGCGTACGGTGGCAAATGTTTGGGTGTAGAGGTATTCTCTATCTCGATGGCAGTGTCTATCCTGTTGCCATGCCGGTTTTGTGATGCATTATATTTGGTGCATTTTTATTTCGATGGCGTTGTCTAACCCATAATTTACAACGGTAGGGTCTTCTCATGGTACGTAGTAAGTGAGCTGTGATCATATGGTATATAATTGAAGTTTGGCAGGCCCTCATTTCCAGTTTCATCTACCAATGATATCTTCACTTTCTCTGTAGAATTTGTAATGTCACTGAAAATTTTGACTGCCTTCCTGGCATCATCAGTGATGGGACAGCATGAATTCACACCATTTAATCATCCTGTGCTTGTTCTATTCCATATTGCCAATTCTTCGGTCTTGAAACATGGTTACCCCCACAAGTGAGGTCTCGAGCACTTGTACCCACTTCAGAAGAGGATGATCCAGAGTTACCCGTAGTTGAGCTTCCAGATGAACATGGAAGAGGTAGACAACAGAATGACAGGTAGTCAGGACATAATTAGTAGCACAGAACAGGATAAAAAAAACAAAGTACTCATATTTAGGGACAATCTACTCACCATGAAAGTCATACACCATCTCTCTCAAGTCACTATAGAAATGCGTGGGAGTTTGTGCACCATTAAACTCGTAGGTTTCCTCCAACCCATTGAAAAACTGCAAAGAAGGCTTTCCTATAAATATCGGTACAGACACAGTTCAAAGAGCTCCATGACCGCTTTTACTCGGAACGGATCTCGCTCCAAAGTGGGAGATTGAGGAGCTCAAGAAGGGGTTGGATGCCAAAGTTCTGAACATTCTCTTGAAAATTGGAATCCAATGTTCTGAACTTTCACTCATAAATGGAGTCCAAAATTCTGAATTTTCAATCAAAAATGGAATCCAAAGCTCAGGAATTGTTTGAAATCGAGATATTGGTTAAATAGATTAGAAGGCAGGTTGGTGGTGGTAAGGAGAAATGGTTGCTGGGAACTAAGCAATTTGTTAGGGGCCTCCCAAAATCACTCTAAATTTACATGGGACAACGATCTTCATTGCTCTGATGATAGGCACAGTGTGTATAGGATTTGATTCTCGAACAACAGCAAGTATTAATAACACGGAAAGAATGACTTGCCATGAAGCCAAAAAGGTTCATCAAATACTCAAACACCCCCCTGTTTTAGCAACATTTGCGGGGAAAGTTCTGCAGGCGGTTGAACTCATCAATGACTTGAAACGGGTAGCTCAAATTCCAAGGGAATTCACAATGGAAAGGTTAATCAAACATGCCCATACATATGCCACTGGAAAAACAATCACAGCATTCCTTTGAGATTTTCAAGTGGTGAGAATGTGAGTATTAATTTAATTTTCCTTTATAACTTAGTTTCAATTTGTAATAATAATAGTTTCTTATAATAACAGGATTACATGGGCACCATATGATATTTTATCCTATTGAAGGCTGCCGAGAGCCTTTTTGTCGTTGTCCATATACGTCTGTAATGGAATGTTGCGATATGGAGGGAGGACTCTTCTGTATTAGCTCTGAGCGCAAAGCATTATTTTGAGAACAAGTACAGTGTAATAGAAGTCGAAGCAAATCCGTTATTTTGAGAACAAGTACAGTGTAATAGAAGTCGAAGCAAATCCTGGTCATTTCTTTGACAGCATACCAATCGGACTGGAAACGGAAGAAGTTTCTTTCAAGCTACCATTCAAAGTGGTGGCAGCACTGGTCCACCCTTTAGAGTCAATACGATAATCGACAAAAAAGTTGAGTACCATCAACGCAATTTCATCCCTTTGTACCAAAGACACAAAGAGATGAGAGAGCAATGCGAAAAAAGACATCATTTGTTTGTCATGTATCCAACTATCCTGAAAGGCTTTAACAGTGGACTTGTTATATCTAAATTGTCTCATGTTAGTGTTTATTGTTAGTCAATTACATGCTTTTAATGCTTCTTTTAATGCCTACGGATGCCGTTCTTTTAATGTAGGATATGCTTCGATAAAGTGACAGATAGGGGATTTCGGTTAGCCACTATCCAAGGCAATACTAGACCATACGTGTTACAACTTTTGAAATTTTCTATGAATAAACATAACGAGAAATCTTATGCCGTACAAGCTTTGGAGAGTTTACCTCTAAGAACTTTTAGAGGAACGAAAAAATTAAAGTCTTACGAGTTGGTCGTTAATTTGGGGTAAAGAGGTTTGGAAAAAAGATTTAGATCCCCGTTATTGCAACAAACAATGGATGGGTGTCATACAGGCACCGATATTCATACAGACACCCGTCCATTATTTGTTGCAATAACGGGTATCTAAATCTTTTCTCCAAACCTCTGTACCCAAATTCACGAGCAACTCGTAAGACTTTAATTTTTTTGTTTCTCTAAAAGTTCTTAGAGGTAAACTCTCCAAAGCTTGTAGAGCATAAGGTTTCTCGTCATGTTTACTCATAGAAAATTTCAAAAATTGTAACAAGTAAGGTCCAGTATTGCCCTGGATAGCTAACCGAAATCCCTTATCCATCACTTTATCAAAACGTATCCTACATTAAAAGAATGGCATCCATAGGCATTAAAAAAACATTAAAAACATGTAATTGACTAACAATAAACACTTACATTGGACAATTTAGATATAATTTAGATATAACAAGTCCACGGTTAAAGCCTTCCAAGATAGTTGGATACCTGACAAACAAATGATGTCCTTTCTCGCATTACTCTATCATCTCTTTGTGTCTTTTGGTACAGAGGGATCTTTGTGTCTTTTGGTACAGAGGGATGAAATTGCGTTGATGATACTCAACTTTTTCGTTGATTATCGTATCAACTCTAAAAGATGGACCAATGCTAACATCACTTTGAATGGCAGCTTTAAACACGGCTTAAAAGAAATCTTCTTCCGTTTCCAATCCGATTGTTATGCTGTTAAAGAAATGAACAAGATTCGCTTCGACTCCCGTTACATTATCCTTGTTCTCAAAATAATGCTTTTTTAATCATCTCCATCTTCGGCACTCGCTCCTCATGAGTGAAACCAAAACGCACCCGTACAGTGCGCACCAGCACCTTTTCTTCACTTTCCTCATCACTTGCTTCTCCGTCTCTAAGCAATTGCCTCTGCCATTTCTCTTCTTTGTGCAACTGCTTCCACTCAGATACCCATTTGTCCCACTCTTTCTTCAAGATCCTTCCCTTCTCGCAAAGCTTTTCTTCTTCCTTCTTTGAAGATGGAGTATTAATTGGGTTGAGTCAGACTCAGGAAGTCTTCAACGAACTTTTCGGAGCATTCACCATTCTCTTCTTCCTTCTTCTTTGAAGCTGGAGTATTGGGTTGAGTCAGACTCAGGGAGTCTTCAACAGGCTCTTTTATTTTTTCAAGTTCGAGTTGACGGAAGGAGCATCCACCATTGTCTTCTTCTTTCTTCTCATCACCTGCTTGTCACCGGATTGAAATGATTAATTACGTTGTATTCTCGATCTCATTCAAATCAAATAAATACAAAGCCCGGCTGTGCGTGTGTGTATATATATATAAATAAAATATAAAAAAAAAAACTAGAAAACATGAATTTACATACACAGATTGCAAGCGGAGATCTAACACAACTAATAAAAATATGTAAATTCAAAATATGTAAATATATATATATATATATAATAATTTCAAGAGCTGCAAGAGAATCACAGACGCCTTCCACCTGAGAGCGGAGGTGTTCATGGCGAGAGTCCATGGCAGCGGCGACCGCGTCCGGATCCGAGGAGGTGGCGGACTGAGTATTTTTGCCCATCGAACGACGGGCTCTGATACCAATTGGTACGCCCAATCGGTCCACAAACAAGAAAGACAGTAATTAACAGAGAAAGTGCAGAAATTGTAAAGGAGCAAGAAAGGGAATAGAGACGGAAAAGGGAAGAAGAGTCAATTTCACTCATCATCCCTTTCTCAGATTACAACGTATTATTTATATACAATTTGAAAAGGGAACCCTAAAATCAAACAGGCTGGGCTTTGAGAGAGATTTAGTTAAGGGCTAACAAGCATGGGCTGGAAGAAAGAGCTAAGAGGCCCAAACCATGTGGTCCTAACAGGCTTGGCCGCTTCAGAGAGAGAGGGAGATAGAACGGGTTTTTTTTGGGGGGTTGGGTAACTCGGTTGTGCTCTGTATTATTGTTATTTACTAGCTTTTTTCAATGTGATTTTTTATTTATTTTATTATTGTTATAGGCCTAATTTAGACAAAGGGAGGGGTAGGAATGGGCAAATACATATGGGTAACCACGGTTACCCATCCATTTAAATTAAACGGTTACGGTTATGGGTAACCGTTTAGATAAATAAACGTTTATGGGTATAACCGTTTACCCGCGAAATTTAAATGGGCGGTTATGGGTATTAACCACGGTTATAAACGGGTAACCGTTTACCCATTTATTTTATATATATAAAACTAACCCAAACCATGTTCTCGATCTAATAATGCTTAGCACCCAATAAATTAGTAAGGAATTCATCGGTCATTCTCTCAATAACACTACTATAGGAATGATGATTCTCATCATCAAGGAATTTGCCAAATTAATTTAAATTCCTAGCAGGTAACCATGAAATTGACATAAATGCTTTTACAGAAATGTCTTCTAAACAATTTTTGTAACCCAATAATACTTAGCAAATATTATATTTACCTTCATTGGTAATAATTAAAAATATCGTCTGTAAACTATTATTTCAATTATTGGAATAATATAAGGACTTGAAAAATTAAAATATGGAAATGTATGATGAATGTACCTATAACGGTGTTTAATTATCAAAAAAAAAATTTATGACAATTTTTTTTTTAATTTTCAAGTTGTTAAAAAACATGTAGACGGGTGAAAAAAGGGTAATGGTAAAAAAAAAGATAAACGGGTTAAAAAGGATAAATAGGTAAACGGGTATTAAACGGTTACGGTTAAATAGGTATGCGATTATGGGTATGGTTAACCATTTATAAACGGTTATGGGTATGGGTATAACCGTTTAGGCAATTACCCAACGGGTAAACGGTTATGCGGGTATGAGCATAAACGATTATGGGTAAATTAACCGCGGTTACCCGTCCGCATAACCATTGCCCATCCCTAGGGAGGGGTGTGGCCGCACCAAGAGAAAAGAGAGATGTGTGTAATTTGAGGTGGGTTATGTCATCTCATTCTGTTTTTATTTATGGTAGGAGGGAAATTCCTTATGACAATAGAATTACAATTCTAATAGTATAATATATAGTCTAAAATATATGGTAGAATTCCATAAAAATATCTTAGATTTGATAAGAATTACCCACTCACATTCTTAAACTAATAGTATTGCAAAAATTTTGCTATTGTTATTATTTTTTTTAGTGGGGATTTTTCATGTGACTTGACGATACTGCCCTTTCTATAAATATAGAGGCATGCAAGTTGGATTTCAATTTCCGATTCCGCTATTAGTTGGAATGTATTTCAAAATTTCGAGCTGAAATATTTTAAACAAACGATAATCAATGGGAAGGTGGTGAGCAAAAACACTATTTCCAATGGTCAACGGTTTGAGTTGTGTTGGTGCAGTGAATTGTGTTGGAAGTTATGACATTGTCCTCTCGGTCTAGCGGTGAAATTGTGTTGAAAGTTAATGTCATTATAGTTCCACAACGACATAAATTCACCGCTAATAAAACTCTACAAGTTAAGTTCACTGCTACTATCTAGTTTCACAAGTTCGGATATTTAGGTCAAGAGTTTATTTAATCTTGAATGAGTTCGAACTTAAATGATAAAACCATATTCTTCTTAAGTAGCGGTGAAATTGTGTTGGAAGGAGGTCACCAAATTACAAATTTCCGTCAACAAAACTACAATACAAATTAAATTGACATAGTTACATAGGCAGGCGGGCAAAATGTTAGACACACTTGCAGCCTAGCTGGTTGGACATTTTCTTACCAAAATTGGAAAAACATAAGGTCATTTCTCAAACCTGAATGAGAACAAGATTTAGTTACTATCATCTTGTGTGTATAAAACACTACGCTTGTACAGCTTCTACAGAAGCTCATCTCCAACATTCTGCTTACATTTTCCTACTTCAAAACAAAATTCTCCAGTTTCGGAGCTCGGAAGCATTGCCATACTCGGATGATCAGCCACGGGTACTCGGTACCAGTGATAGTTACCATCAGCTACCCCAACACTAATCTTTTCCCTGCACACGAACACAGCAACAATTACCAGCAACGAAGAGGGTTTGAAGTAGATAAACTTAAACGTTTGTGACTGGAGGCCGGAGCATAATATGCATTGACCCTTTTTGTTTCACATTCAAATTCATTCATCTTCTATACTTCTCAGTTCAGGGATATCCCAATGTTGGTTTCAGTCTATAGTTTATTGAAAAGATTGTAATGTGCGAGCAGTGCCATGGAAAAACCGAAAAATCGAGTCCTATCTTCACAGTAGAACATGAAATCTACAAAACAAGCACCCTACTTAAAACTAGACCGGGTATAGCTGCTTTCAGCAAAATATATTTCAGTAGAGCATATGATGTTCGTGGCGTATGGAGCGCATAGAGTAAACAGAACGGCTATGATTCTTCGAACACCCTTTTTGGGAATTTTCTAACATGTGTAGTTTTAGTTTACCTCTGCGTTCTTTCCGTCCATTCTGTTTATTCCCCGGCAAGGTACACTTCCACAGTTATACGAAAATGCCTTTATAGGATGTCCATGATCATCAAAGTCAATACCATAAAGGTCGTATCCAGTGCACAAGACTCCCGCTTTACGCAGGGTCTGAGAGAGGTGAATGTCGGCTAGCCTTACCCCCATTTTATGGAGAGGCTGCTCCCAAGTCTCGAACCCGAGACCTACCGCTCATGGGCGAAGGCACTTGGCATCGCACCAAGTGCGACCTCTATCAAAGTCAATACCATAATCCTGTAAAACGATTTTCCTCATCATTTTATGGACACAAAAACATCTACCATAACGGATAAGTTATAGCAAACATACAACAGTAGGCAAGCGCTCACTCACCCATGTCAGCTCTTCAAAAGCGTTCACTTTCCTCGTAGCAAAAAATGCAAACTGCATACGCACAAATAAGGTACTCAGATGCTTTTTCATCCAGTGTAATTAGTGTGTAAGAATTGAAATTGAAAGCAACCGAACCCGTATGTGATAATAGTGACGGTCAGGGGTCTCCACTTGAACTGGGATATCAATCAAATTTGCATCAGAGCAACTGGAATTACGAGAAAATCCAAACAAACACAAGTTCAGTACAGGCAGACGATTCGCAAGCTTAGCTATTGATTAAAAACTTCAGATTTAGATGATTTTTGTTGAGATAAATGAATATGACAATTGCTCTTAATAGTTAATACAACGCAAGAAGTTCTACTCGTTTTTGTAACTCGGTTGGAATTAGTGGTGAACTTGCTAACTTATGCCAAGACTCCTCCATTCCAAACCATAGCACCAAAATGGCAAGCGTACTAAGGATTAAAAAAATTGCAGGTAAATATGCAATTTATAAAGACATACAAATGAGATAGATGACCTGCTCAGCCTAAGACAACGATAACAAAGAACAAAGTCACCAAAATATACATAAATCCACAGGAATTGGAGTATTACCTATGATTGATAAATCTGGCAACATTTCCATGAGATGTTTCATCAAGACAAAGGGCATCGTCATCCTTCAAAATTTGCTCTGAGCAATACGGGGTAGGTATGTCTCTTAGCTCCCAGCTTTGGGTATTTCTCTCGTACAATTCGTTGTTGTTCAGTATCTCCCCAACATATTCACAGACAAATGCCCCATTCTGCAAGACCTCTAGTATCCTAACACTCCAGCCTTTCCCTTCAGGAGTCACAAACACCTGAAGCAAATCAGAACAAGAAATACTTATTGGATTAAGTACGAACTTCGAATGGAATGTTTGTACCAACATAACGCCTCATGAAAAAAATGAAAATTCGTAAGGTTAACGATGAAAACAAATTTGGGAGAGCTACTAGTGCTCATTGTTGTTCCGTGGATGCTTCACGAAGAAACTAAAAGATTAAAACAGCACTAAAACAAAGAAATAAAAATTTTGCTGAAATATTATGCAGCTTCAACTAGTAAATTCCTTAATAATATACAAGACAGTAATAGTTTGGAGTCTTTGGACACCCAACAGTTAAAAAGCATCTCTTCACTATACTACCCGATTTCCACACGACAAGTCACATCCACATTTTCTCCAGCATTCTTTATTAAACTTCCTGATGTGGTGACCTTTGCATTTTTCGGGGTAGTACTCGTTCTTAGACCTCTCATTGGGACAGTCTTGACAATAAACAAAGTTGCGCGCCTCCGGTTCCTTGACACAAGCTGTTAAAAAATCTTCTTTAAGCAGGCCTTGTGCTGTGTACACAAACTCTCCACCGGTTTCACGAGCACATGCACATGGTATTGCCACTGAGAGACAATCTCCAGAGCAGTCAGTGCAGCAATCTTCAACCGAAATCCGAGCTAGCGACATGTTGACATTGGCATTTTGTTAGATAATATTCTGCGGTATATAATTCAACTTTGGAAGGCACTCAATTCCAGTTTCGTCTACCAATGATATTTTCACTTTCTCTGTAGATTTTGTAGTGTCACGGAAAAAATTGAATGCCGTCCTGCCCTCACGAGTGATGGGACTGCTTGAATCCACACCATTTAACTCAGCCTGTGATTGTTCTATTCCACATTGCCGATTCTTCGGTCTTGAAACATGGTTACCTCAACCAGTGAGGTCTCTAGCACTTGTACCCACTTCAGAAGAGGATGATCATGGGTTACCCGCAGCTGAACCTCCAGACGAATCTGGAAGAGCTAGACAACCGAATGCAGTCTTTTACCTGGTCTTTCAGGCCCATCAAACTCCATGGCAGCTTCTCTTTTCTCTTCTTTTCCGTATTTCAAAACAAAAAATATGAAAGGCAAGGACTAGTACAAATTGGTTTTCAAGTCAATTATCAACTACAACTTTACAAGTGGATTGAAACATCCAATCCCCCAATTTTCCATACCCATCCGATCGCTCTGAGATCGTTGGAAGATGATGAATTTATTTATTTTTTATTTTTTTAATGGGAATTTTTCGTCTGACTTGACCATACAGTCCTTCGTCTAATGTACAGAGGCATGCAAGTTGGATTTCAATTTTCCGATTCCGTTATAAATCCACTATAAAACCAATTGGTAATATGGAGAGTAGTCCAAGATCATATAAGCACATAGTAAATCTTGTCTTTCACCAATGTGAGACAACTCTCAATACGTCCCCGCACATCAAGAGATCGGATCATCTCCGGATCATTCAAGCAGGAGTGCTCAATAAAAAGTGAACGGCCAGGATTGTAATGTGCGATGGGTGCCATGGAAAAACCGTAAAGTCAAGTCCTATCTTCACAGTAGAACATGACATCTACAAAACAAGCACCCTACTTAAAACTAGACGGGGTATAGCTGGCTGGGACCTGGATTATCTGACCTCCTCATCCCATACTCTTTCCATCCTCTCATATGTATGTGGTCATGGTTAAATCACGTTAACATTTTATATTTTTTTTTTATAGAAATAGTAAGACAAAAAGCAATGGAAATATAAAATGTTGACGTAGCTTAACTGTGACCACATAAATAGAAAAGATTGGGAAAGGAATGGAATAGGGAGAGCAAACAATCCAGATCCCTCAGCAAAATCTATTTCAAAAGAGCATATGATGTTTGTGGCGTGTGGAGCTCACCCTCAGCAAAATCTATTTCAAAAGAGCATATGATGTTTGTGGCGTGTGGAGCTCATAGAGTAAAAGTTTCGGAAAATTTTCTTATGATTTGAGAGAAAAAAGAGAGGAAAGAGAGACTGATTTTGATTTGACAATCTTTGTTTGATTAATCAAATTCTTCAGTATAGTCACTTTATTTAAGAAGTGAAGTTTTCAAACGCACTGAGTCACTCCAATTATCCGCGTTCTCAGACGTCCACATCCATCACGACCTTCTCTTCTTCCGGAAGTAAAAGGCAAAGACTCTCTCTTTCCCAATGGCCTTTTGTTTTCTATTTTTGTTTTTGAGCTTCTGCTTCTTGGTCTTTTTTGAGTTTATTGGTTCCAACTTCCAAGGCATCAAGGGGATCCTTAGATTTCTGTAAGGATCTTACTTTTTCTTTTGTTTATTTTTTATGTTGTTGGCTTATTGTAAATTACTAGGTTTATGGGGTTGACTTGCTTTCTGAGTCAGACATTAGGAACGCTATCCAGTTAGATTTGTTTTTGTTTCTGTTTTATTTTTGTATTTAATTTAAAGATTACTGTTTATTTGATTCTTTCAAATCCCAGTTTAAACAACAGTCAAATGTATATATGTTGTGCATTATTATAATTAGTCTACTTGGTTAGCTAAGATTACAAAGATATGACCAAGTGTTTTTTTTTTTTTTTTTTTTTTTTTTTTTTTTTTTTTTGCGTGTGTAATAAATTATCAGTTTTCGGTTTGATCCAATAGGTTTTTGCTCATTCGTAAGTGATGTATTTTTGCTCATGATAAGAGTAAAAATAAACCTTTTTAGCAACAGAAGAAATATAAACATATTCCCGGTTTATACAAATGGGTGCGCAGAAGTATTTGTGCTACTTGGAGATAATCAATTGAAAGCTTCTTCGCTAGCAGTATATACATGTGTAGAAACCGGATTATGTTGCCTCAAATCTATGGCAGTTTACCATTTAACTCTTTGGCCTGCAATTTCAATTCTATTGCCATTGTTCTAATATTGACATATTTTACCAAATATAGTTCCCCCTAAAGTGATTTTTACTTGACTTTCTACACTATTAATGTAAATAGGTTAAAACATGACAAACATGTTGGAGAACAATTCAGAAATAAACAAAATAACAGAAATAAATAGAACTTGAAATTCACAATTTTATTTCACAAAAAGTACTTGTTGTACAAAATGAAAAGTATGCAATAAATACAGAAATTAATATAAGAATATCAACCGTACTACCTTGATTACAGAAGGTAGAGGCTAGCGTAAAAGCTATGTCCTTCGAACAGTAATTCTGTCCCACTCTTGTGCTTGTGGTTCTATAACGTCTGCTCGACCAGGATACAACTACCTAATCCTACAACCCGCACTGGATTATAGAATTCTAGCGAATTGCTTTGTGTGTTTACTCTCTCTGGAAAGTTTGTACGGAAGAAAATGAAGAAGAAAATATGATTGATGATGAACTGAGGACTCCAGTTATATAGGCTCTTTCATACCTCTTCAAATACTTTTTGGATGTATCTGAAGCTTTACAACTCTCTACAAAAGGTTATATCTTTAATCAAAACGTTTTTAATTAATTTAATTAAAAACTTAATTCGAAATTAAAACTAATTGATCAGATAAATTTTAATTCTTAGGCCCCAAGGCCAAGGCCCTTGTCTTGATTAATTAATATTAATTTATATTAATATTATGGTATAATCATCAAGCCCAATCCAACAATTGGTGGCCTAAGCCTCAATCGTCATTCCAAATAATCGAACACCTAACTAATATAGTAGAAGACAAAACATATATAAAGGTACTTGGGAATCTTGTTTTCACCAATGTGGGACAAGAGTCTCAAAACTTCCAACAAAACATTCATAACAAATTGATTTTACTCATCTTCGTGAAACGTTATCGATGCATGCATCATGTTTATGATGGCATATGTCACAAGGTTAAACCGTCTGATTACTAATCAGTGTATTGTTAAGATGCAATTAAGTGAGTGAGCTGTGTTAGAGGGATCTAATCCTCGCTCATGGTATTGTACAACTAACCTAAGATGATACAGAATCATTTCATATTGAAATGTAAATAATACAGTCACCCTTTGTTTAATAATATGTACCGAGACAAATCACGATGATGATTTCTTTGTTTGCAGTTTAGATGACTACATCTCCGGCCTTTGTCACTTACGTTTGTGATGTCTGTGGCATGTTTAGGCAGGTGATGTTATGTAGCATGTTTATTGCCAGTGATCGGTATGTTTTTGTGTTGATGTTATTGTTGTTAGATGCCAAACTCTAATAGGTATTGATCTGATTGTGGTATATCAATTTTTAGCATGCTTTTATAAATTTTCTTTGATACACTCTACTATGTTGTGGACAGCCTATTGATACTTCATTGAAATTCAAGGCCTTCTGTTTTCGAGTTCAATCTGTTAAGAGTACACAGGGTGAAGGTGATGCGAAGTGTCACATGATTTATCCATATGTTTGTGAGGTTCAATCAATGTAATGTGATGATGGTAGCATGTGTTACAAGATGCAATTAGTTAGTCGGCTATATTAGAGGGATATTAGCCGATGAGCACACACTCTGTGTGTATGAACAATTTCATTTTATTTTTTGTGTTTTATTAAGGAGCGATTAGTTTTTAAAATTTTAAAAACAATATGAAAAAAGGGAAAATTAGGTTTACATCATTCTTTTTGTTACTCCATTGATTAAGGAGCGATCAGTGTATTGTTAAGATGCAGTTAGTTAGTCAGCTATATTAGAGGGATACTAGCCGATGAGCACACACTGTGTGTGTGAACAATTTTGTTTGTACCATACTTGACCAATCCCGAAACTACCGAACACCGGCCAACGCTATACTGTCAAGGACCCAGAAGAGTTCCCCTCCGACCAGGAGGCCAATCACTACTCGACACGTGTCAAGATTAGAAGCCAATCAGAGCGCAGCACGTGTCGACATCAAGAACCAATCATAACATGACACATGTCAATGTGACAAAGCTACAAGTTTTTCTATAAATAGGGGTCATTCCCCCACAATATTGCCTAATGCCATTTTGTGTTAAATCATTCACAAGAACTCACTAAATTGAGAGCTTGATCCTTTGTACTTGTGTAAGCCCTTCACTACTAATAAGAACTCCTCTACTCCGTGGACGTAGCCAATCTGGGTGAACCACGTACATCCTGTGTTTGCTTCTCTGTCTCTATTCATTTACGTACTTATCCTCACTAGTGACCGAAGCAACCAAGCGAAGGTCACAAAACCTGACACTTTCTGTTGTACCAAAGTCTTCGCTGATTTTGTGCATCAACATTTGGCGCCGTCTGTGGGAAACGACACTTATTCCTACCCTCTTCAGCTGTGTCAAGCTGGTTTCTATCATTCGTACACTTTCTTTTGATCAGGCATCCCTCTCCAACATGGGAAGCGAAGGAAGCCACATCACACAGAATGACACCCCCTTGCACATAGTGCGAAACAACGAAAGAAGGAAGGAAAACGAGTTCTTCTTCAAGCTAAAGTCGATGAGTTGGAAGCTCAGAACAACAAGATAGCAATGAGGAATGAGGTCCTCCAGGAGCAATATGAGAAGCTCTTCGAGACACTCCACAAAGCTAGGCAAGCTCAGACACGCGAGCTTGTTGCCCCCGTGGGAGAGCTTGTTGCCCCCGTGGAAGTCAACCATCAACTGGGT